TGCCTGGAGAATTTAATAACTTTAAATCGATGACACAATATACAATACGTAAACAGACACATGCAAAAAGAATCGTCCAAACTATTATTAACAAAGAGGGGACGGAAAGAGCTCTATTTTTGTACGTAGCTGTGATCTGGTGGAAGGTTTCTTATACTATTTTAGAGCTCTTTCCCTCTTTTCTTCTATCACTTACATCTACCAGAGGAAAAAAGACAACCCTTTTTGATTCTTTTGGTAACCACTTCTTTCTGGCCAAGCTCGAAGCTTCGTGAGGAACCGGGTGGCTAGATTTGCAAAGCAGCTTCTTAGACTATTCTGTGCTTTTGTTGCAGTCTGCGTTTCTTTTGACTGGGTGCAAATGAGCGCGACTGTTATTCATGTTAGTTTGTTTATCCACTATCCATTAGGATCATGACTACCACTACGCAAAAGAATCCATATAAGAAATTCCTTAGCTGACTTGGTGATGTAAGTCCAAGCGCAAGATTTCACAAAGATTTAGCTTCATTTGCATTTCTGTTATCTATTTGATCCCTCAGTCGCGACACAGGCCAAGTGAGTTATTTTCAGTTGATTTCTTTAATGATTTTTTCAGCGGACTAAGCAAGCCTCTGCAAGTCACTGAATATCTCTTGCCCAATTGTTTGATCCTGAAATGATTCACGCTGCAAGGTTGCTATGCGTAACTATTTTAAATCGATGCAGTCGGCGAACCAGTGTTTCTTATGTTAGTTGAGGCTTCCCACGAATCATCTTTAGGATCATTGCCATGGTTTATTTTTCAACGGGGTTTCTTTTAAATTGCTCTAGTCGGAAGCACGCGCTGATTCTTCCGATTTTTTTTGGCTTATTGATCTCTCAAACATCATGTTCAAGGGGACACCTTTTGATTGACTTAGCTGTCTTAGGCTTCAAGCTGGCGTTGTATGGATAGTGCGCGTAACATTCTAAAGATTCAAGTCTTTAGACATAGGAACATTTTGGCGCCAAATAGTTTGGCACTTTCTATCGATTTGGAGAAACGACGAAAATTTAGATGAGAATTTCTGGCTGTACAACTAAAGAAAGAGATCTAATCGTTCGAATGAGTACACTTAGCAGACATCTATCAATTTCTCTAAGCATAGCGTCCGAGTACAATTTGAGTTGCATCTCCAAGCTTGACGTAATCTACGAGCTTTCCAGAGTCATGTCTTCTGAAAGACCCGAAATACCAGCATTATTTATAGTGTATTCGGAGACCTGATTTTTTCTGAAATTTGTTTAGTAGTTTCATAGACAAAGCCCATTGTTTCCTGGATTGAATGCTCTCCAAGAGTCATTTTAGAAGTGTTGGAACAGTTCTCACAGTGGCATCAATGAACTTCCTACCGCATATCTTAAATTATATATAGTTGATCGCCAAGCTTCGGTAGTAGAACTTTAAAGATTGTAATTCTGTAGTGAGATCAAACATGTCCATTTTTTATTCATTTTCCAAAGGTTTTAAAATCCAGGTTTTGGCTCGGAGAATACTAGGACTTGGTCTGGATCCTAATGATCTAGGTGTGCTAAAATACACTCAAATCTTCAACTGCGCTGTCAGGCTTCATGTAAATCTTCTTTTTTTTAGGCCCCTCAAAAATACCTTTTCAATAGTTGCGAAATATCGTTTGATACCAGCAGATGGCAACTGGCCAGCTACTAGCCTATGCTAGAATCTACTAAATTGCTAGTTACTTTTCCAGATTCGGGCTCTCGTTTGGGTCACTACTTGCTCCAGCTGAATCACTTTATCTATCCCTAATTGGTTTGGTATTGGATGATGATTATGCATGCCTTAGACGCATTGAGTGTAGCCATTTCGTATATATATTAATAAAATGTAGTTTATTACAACCAACGCCAGAACTGTGTGCCATAATAAAGCTATCCCTGGATCTTGAGAGCTCATAAAGCAGTACCCGTATATTCTGAACTTTGGTCAATTCATCTACACGTTTGCCTTAGACCATTGTAAGTTTTTGATTGACTGAATATCACAGCAGCTCAATTATCTCTGCCTGTAGACGTTTCTATTCTCAATCTATTAGCTTATTTGTATGTGTAAGCGTGGCTATTTCTGGGGTCCGCGACTATGCAGACATATAAATAAAATGTGGCCCCACATTCATAGTTTTACTTCTTATGTACCAATCTGACAGTTTGATACTTTTTGCTCTCTGTCAATCTATACAACGTGGTGAATTGTGTTTGATCTGATCAAACTTGTAGAGACTAGTCTTTGACGGACTTGTTGCGACAGATTAACTTTGGTTAATGTTTATCATTGACAGAGATTCATTTTTCTGGTTAGATGTATTGCGGGCTCATAAAACATGATTTTTTGGACAATAATAAAATCGGAAGGAGTGGAATAAAGATTCATACTCTCCCAGGGCTAAAAATATGCCAGCCTTTGCATGAATGATTGATCAATTATGGGGGAAAAAATGACCCAATTTCAGCCCGAGAAAGATCGTATTTAAAACTTTGACCCTTTTCAAAAGCTCTTATCGGATTTAAGATACTTTACTGCTTTTGCTTTCAAATCTTCCAATCTTGTCTTATCAAGTTCTACTTTGTTGAAGCGCGTTTCATAGAAAATACATTGATCGGGCCAGAGATGCTATTTCTATCTTTATGCAAATATAAACATTATTTATTGCTGGAACAAAGAAATTAGCAACCCGTAAATTTTCGAAAGCTTTGTGCAGCGTGAGCAATTTGCTGATGTTTGAGGGCCTTGAAACTATTTTGCAAACATACATTCATGTGGACCTCTACAGTAATCTTCATTGAGAGTGATGGTTTAAACTCAATTAGAGTTTCTGACCCAAGCTGGATAGTGGTATCGGTAGTTACTAATTGGTGAAATGCATACTTACTTGGTTTGTTTAGGATACTGGAAGGCTCAATTGCGGACTACACTAAAATGCTCCTTTATAACATTGGCCCAGGGTACAATTCAGATGATTTCAAATCAAAGTGGCACCGCGCTGGTGTACAGCAAGGAGAAGAAAATCGTCACTATGAATGCAATTATGTATTGGAGTTTCCTCATTCATCAGCAGTACCAGGCTCTGGATTGTGTTGGTTGAAGCCTTTCCTTGCTTGTGAGATGGGATCAAAAAAATTATTTTAAGTATACCTGGTTCATCAACTCGGCGTCGTCAATGCAGGCATCCAAGGCCTGGCAGCACTTGGCTAAATAGTTTTGAGTGTACAATTGCTTTTGTTCCTCTATAATTAATGTCCTTAATTAACGATAAATAGGATATGATTCAAAAGAAATAAACACAAGGGAATTCAAAATTTGAGCCTCTATTAGCTTCGGTCTGGAGAAATGCCAATTAGAACACAATATCAGTTCAGATGACGGATGCCAAGCGAAAGGCTATTTAGCATTTGAAAGACCCAAAAACATACTCTGTGAAAGCTAGAAATCTACTAAAAACCAAGCTCAGATTTCAAAACCGCCAGCCTATAATACCCTCATTGCGTGAATTTGTGCCTCTTTGTCAGAACCTTTGGAAAGGCTAGTGCGAAGACATCATCCATTGCACTTGAAGTATGCTCAAGTGAGTTGAGCCCACTGCTCTAGAGCAATGTGCTCGAAAATTCTTACACCAAACAACTTGGGCGATACAAGCTTGAAAGATGTATTCTCATGAATTACAACTGGAAACTTTGCGTGTTCTCATTTCCCTTTCGGCAGAGAGGGATCTCTTTATATTTTAGGTATGTTTTTTAATTCATGTATAAGTGAACATATACTGACCACACCAATCAGGTCCTTTTTTTATCATATGCTTGAATTTGTCATATCCCTCCAACAGACTCAGTCATTCGTATATGCATCCCAAGATCGTATACAGTATTGTCTCAGTCAGCCCTCCATGCAATATTTCAATATGCACCTCACCGTGGCTATGCATCGTCGCACCTTGAGCGGCGAAATTCCATTCGACTGCTACTTCCATAATTTCCTGTACTTGATCACTATGAAAAAACCCTTGGCGCAAAAACCCCATTGTTCTTTATTTGTGTAGGTGTATTGAAGTTTCAGACATGATCGAAAATATTTGCTGACAAATATCTGGGCGTATGATGATAAATCTCAGATCATGAATTTCTTTCGGGCCCGGGCCAATGTCACTGGGAACACATTCATATTTTCAGAGCCGAAACCATTCAGCATTATTCCTACAAGGAGGCTTTATGGATAACCTCCAAGTCTATTGTTTATGAGGCCCTCCTCCTCACCCTCTTATCTGAGTCTAACAGCCCGTAGACATCATTCCTTTGGAAAAAGAAAAAGGAACAAACGGCGAAGTAAAAGCAAGGGCCCATATTTTCAAAGAAACATTGTATTATTCTCCGCACCAAACTTTTTTCTGCCTAGTAAAATTTCCTTTTGAGTAGGCGAACGCGAGACGCGAATGGTTGACAAAGACTTTTTCCACCCGAGCTTTCACGATGCAGGACAATTTCGTAACGAACGCAGCGGAATTTACTCGGCGAAGCGCAATTTTCAGGAAAAACCTAAAAAACTGAGGCGCAGTGTAAAGAGAAATAATCATTCCGATATCTCATCCAGATCGAAAAACATTTTCAGGAACTCTTTTGGAAGTGTAGAAGCATTTGAAGTAGCCGCTTCTGTCCTGAAAATCATGATAATGGTAACCTGCACCGGCGTGATATATTCGCGAGTTCGCTCAAGCCATCCACATAACCAAGTCGATGTGTGGCTATGTCGCAGTATCATAACCATTTGGCGCACCCAATGTGGAGAACTTACAAGATCCACCATCTCCTCTATATGCAGCTTTAAGCGAAGAATGTGCGGAATGAATCTCTGAAGGTTTTGGCCGTGCAAGTATTGATTGTGGTCACGCTCATCCTCGTAGATTCTTGACTATATAAGAAGACATCAAAATGCCCTTTAAAGGATTTAATTAAAAAGTAAAACATAAGATCTAGCCATCTCTAAGCTACGTGAAATCGACTAAGCAAGCCAATAGTCCAACAAGTCTTATACTCATCTTTTGCAGCCCTCTTAGTGTTGCATATCAACTTCGACGATCTTACATTATGAAATTGATCATTTGTGCGGCTGCTGTATCTTCCTTGGTAGATGCCTTGGCCATTCGGGATTATTCAGTCTCCATTAACCACAATACAGTGACCAAGTCTCCAAATGTGGACTACAAAGATTTCAGTATCGCTGCAGGAAAGCACTTTGCAGCTGTGAACAGCAAAAAAGTTCAATTGAGCGGTAATTTTGAAAATGAGGGCGAATTTTACGTCACAAACTCTGGCGATTCGAGGGTCAGGATGAGCATCATCGGTGACACTGTTGAGAACCGTGGGAAATTTGCTATCAACTCCTTAACAGCTGAAACCACTCCCGGGTTTTTTATCAGGGCAAGGGAAAGTTTTGTAAACTCTGGTGAAATGTACCTTGGAGATTCCGGGGCCGAGTCTGCTGTTTTCCCAATCACCATATCTTCTGCGAACTCTTGGTATAACTCGGGCTCGATGGTATTCCGGAGGGAATCTGGACCCAGAGTTCCATTAGATCTTCGTGGAAGTCTCTTTGATATCCCAAGCATTGAAAATTATGGATCCATTTGTTTATACAACACTTTATGGGAGACAAAAACATCCATTATAGGATCCGGCTGCATCAGTGTGGGTTCTGGTTCACTCTTGGAATTAGCGCTCGACAAGGACCAGGTTCTGCAAGCTATCACCTTAGAATCCGCGGACTCTGACTTGAAGATTTCCAAATTTGGCACTTCTCTTAGTGCTCCAGTCATCAGAATCGCAGGTTTCGGAGGAAATAACAAAATCTCCTTTGATAAGGTAATTGAGGGTACCGACAAACTCAGTTATTCTGAGGAAACAGGAAGGTTGTCGATCTTGGACGCCACTAAGACGGTCCTTCTCTTAGATATTGGCACAGGGTACGATGCGGGAGAGTTTAAAGTGACCCAGAGTGAGAGTGGTAGTACCGTGGTGTACGACAAGGCAGTCCCACAAGACAGCCGTCAAGATGGATGTGGTTGTGTATCAGAGTTTCCCAACTCGCCACGAGTACCTGGCTCTTAGTTGAGCTGACTAGCAAAATGGCTCCTTCCTGGTTGAATGTTGAAATTGTGTGTTGATTACTCCTAGTTCATCACCAACTCACTGTCGCCAAGTCAAATACTCAAGGCCTGGCAGCATCAAGCTCAATGGTCTTGAGTGTACATTTGTACTTGTTCCCCTTCATCTTTTCCCTGTCTCGTTTTGTATTTGTGGCATAAAATTAGGGGATTTGTGTTTAGAATTTTGTTTAAGAAAAAAAAAAGTTTGTTTTTGAGTTTCTTGCTGGGATGCATAATATTAAAGTCACCAATAGCTATAGTCTGTAAAAGGGGTTAAACAGCTTCCTAGACGACCGGGTACCAGTGGACCAAGGACGATTTGAGACTCCTTTCTACAATTTGTCCTGATTGATAAGGCTGGCTTTTGTGAATGATGTTGGAAGCCTGAACATTAGTTATAATGGACTTATTTGTCGAGCTGATTAATCTGTTCTCCTTTGTAGAATCAACGATCATGCCTTGATGTCCTTAAGGACACTTGTGTTGATGGTTTGTACAAGGCGCAGAACACTGGAAACGAAGCCAAAATAAACAAGTTTTAAAAATCTTCTCGGTCTGGCACCAAAACATTGTGGTTCTGTGAAATTTATCCATGCATCGTCAGCGCAATTGGTTCATAAAGTCATTCTATGAGTCTTGTACGTTTGACTGGGCATCACACACTTTGCTGCGCTGGTGCTAAGAGTATCTGAATCTGGATTCCTATATCGCTTGGGTTAAGAAAACCAAGTGTTACATATTTGATTGGTCAGCCGATTTTGATCAAAAGATGTCAGTTTGTCGAAGAAGTATTAAAGCTCTGATATATGTAAAGAAGACAGAATCACAAATCTATGCACCTTGGTGACAAAGATGGTTGTTGTTCCAATTTCCCTGAATAAGGCGATTAGGTCTTACGATTAGACTTCTGGTACCCTCAATGCAGAATCATGGGTTGTTTTTCTGCTCGCATCTGGAAAGTACTGCTCCCCGACACTCTACGGACATTGAGTTGTTCTAATTTTAATCTCATCTAAATGCCAAAGGTCAATGAGCAATTTTGGTGTTTTGCCCCGCACTAGTCAGAAGAAAAATAAAACTGTTAAAGGATTGAATTCTTCATTAAAGAATTCGACGCTTCGATCTGGGGACTAGAAAAGCAGAAGAAGAAAACTCGGATCTGCCCCGAACGCAGGCAAAGTAAAGCACGCTAAATTTTCTCGCAAGTTTACAATGAAAGACCTGGCTGTTTATTGGTCTGTGACTTTGATTTCGAATACGTGTCCCATTACTACTTGGGACAAGCAGATATTTCTCACAAAAGATGCAGCAGATGCATTGGGATTCTAGCATCTGTCAAAGTTGGAGGTTCTGACGGCTGTTTTTCATGCCCCCAGTATGAGCCTTGATTTTTTTCAGACCCTATTTGTTTACTTGGTTTCTATATACATCGATAGTCACAGAACTAGAGATGTCAGTTTCTGGGGTGAAGAAGGACACATCTCGCATAAATGGCCGCCAGCCCATCTGCACCAGAACATACTGAGGCTCGAGAATTTTGAGTTCCAAGGAGAAGGGCCAGATATCATGAGAGAATCTAATGGATCTACTCTCCAATCACATGTATTAAGACAAAGCACTACGAGGAGCTTGCTTTCGTTGGACGGAATACACCAGAAAAAAAGGAGGATTGCACCCACGGCAACTCAGATCCGTCAGATTCTCGTAAACTGAAAAGATTTCAAAGTGATAGGCCCAAGATTCTTGCACCAAGGAAACAGTAGTACGACACAGAAAGATGCCTGGGCAGCGATTCTCTGTGTCCAAATATAAACAGACTACCCCTCCTGCATGGATCTAGAGAGATGGCTCGGTCGGGATATTTTATTTTGGTGTGTTAAGAAATTGGCATGAATCACTTTGGTGTATTGGCAAATTGGCACGAATCACTCTGCGCATGTAGAGGCTAGTCTGCCTAAACCGCGTCTGCTTGGCATGCTCAGCTCGCCCGAATCAATTACGCAGCCCTCAAGACATTTCTGCACCGCTGAAGTTTAAAGACACCGCGATTACAGAGCGATTGAAGAGGGTAGAGACGATAGAAGAGCGATTATGTAACCATCAATCAGCGATTAAACACCGTTCAATAAACAGTGAAGAAACAGCAATTATTTAGCGATTAAAGCGCGATTAAAAACGATTCAAAAAGCGAAGAAAGAAGGACTAGATAATAAACAGCGAAAAAACAGCGATTATGCAGCGATCAAACAACGATTATGCAACGGTAAAACAGCGAATATTTAACGATTGTATAGCGATTATATTTCGATTACTCAGCGAGTAAAAACCATTCAAAAAAAAAAAAAAAACAGGGACTGAACAGCTAATAAATAGCGAATGAACAGCGATTGAACAGTTATTAAATAGTGATTGAAAATCATTCAAAAAGCTATCATTCCGCGACTGTATAACAACTGTACAACGATCATATAGAATGATCTAGCCTTCAAACATTACAGAACAACTAAGCAGCGTTTATATAGCGACTTATCAGCGAAAAACAGCGACTAAACAGCGATTAGAGAATGAGTAATTACAATTGAAAAGGCCATTATTCAGCGACTAAAAAGCGACTATATAGCACTTAAACAACCATTAAACAGCGGATAAACAGCGATTATATACCAATTATATACCAATTAATCAGCCATTGAACAACGAATGAACAGCGATTCTATAACGATTATGCAGCGATTGAACAGCAATCATGTCGCAATTAAGTCCCATTCAAGAAGCAAAAAAAAGCGAATGGATAGTGATTATATAACGATTATATAGCAATCAAACATTCGTTAAACAGCGATCAAACAGCGATCAAATAACGATTAAAAAGTGAATAAAAACCATTCGAAAAGCGATTAATCAGATGATAAGCAGCCAGTAAGCGACGATTATACAGCTGTCAAACAGCGAATACTTAATGATTATATAGCGTTTATATCGCAATCAATCAGTGAATAAAACCATTTTAAAAAAGCGAATAAGCAGCAATAAACAGCCATTAAACAGCCATTAAACAACGATTATATAGCGACTATACAGCGCCTAAACAGCGATTAAACAGCGCACACCAGTGATTATACAACGATTATACAGCGAATAAATAGGACTTAAACAGCCATTAAACAACGGATAAACAGCGACTATTTAACGATTATACAGCGAATAAACAACGCACAACAGCAATTATATAGCAATTAAACAGCCATTAAACAACTAATAGTCAGCCATTAATAAGCGATCGTATAACAATGATATAGCCATTAACAGCAATTATATACCAATGAAACAGCGATTATATAGCGAGTAGGCGGTGATTATACAGCGAGTGCCCAAAAAAAACAGCGATTAAAGAGCGAATTAACAACGATTATACAACGATCATACACCATGATCTAGCCATCAAACGGCAATACCATACCAACCAAACCACGCTTGTATAGCGAGGTATCAGCGGATAACACGATAGATAGCGAATATACAGCGCCTAAATAGCGATTGAACAGTGATTCAAAACCATTCAAAAAGCCATTAATCAGCGAATAAACAGCCAATAAACAGCGAAAAAACAGCGAGTAACAACGATTATACAGCGAAGATACAGCGATTATACAGCGATTATACAGCGATTATACAGCGAATAAACAGCACTTAAACAGCCAATAAACAGCGAATAAACAGCCAGTAACAACGATTAAACAAATATACAGCGAATATACAGCGAATAAACGGCACTTAAACAGCCATCAAACAACGCATATACAGCGAATAAACAGCGAATAACAACGAATATACAGCGTATAAACAGTGATTATACAGCGAATGAACAGCGAATGAACAGCGCACAGCAGCGATTATACAACGATTATACACCACTTAAACAGCCATCAAACAACATATAAACAGCGAATAAACGGCACTTAAACAGCCATTAAACAGCGAATATACAGCGTATAAACAGTGATTATACAGCGAATGAACAGCGAATGAACAGCGCACAGCAGCGATTATACAACGATTATACACCACTTAATCAGCCATCAAACAACAGATAAACACCAGCAAAAATAACCAGCGACAGCACAACGATCAGACAAAACGATCGCGCCGTCAAACAGCAACTACATCCCAACCAAACAGCGTGATACTGCCCTGTATCAGCAATGACCGGCGTTCCTGCCGGAGCCTTCCGCAGCACCATTGCATCAGATGACGGCGCTCGCCGGACGAACGAAGCAGCGGGCTCTATATGCAGTCCCCGTCTCTGGAGCTGCTGGGCGCCGAGAAGCCCCCCAAAAATCGCCGGCGGCCCCACGCCATCTGCCACATCACCCGGCCCCGCCGCCTTATTAGCCCGCGCCCAGCCCCGGCATCTGTGCTTTTGGCGGCGGGCCGGGCGGAGGGCATCGCGGCCTGCACACAGCGCGGCGCAGAGATGCTCAGCTCGGCCCCCAGTGCAAAAGAGTCTCCACTACACCCCCCAGAATGGCCAGCACACACGAACTCTCGGACAACGAGCTCGACGCGTTCGACTCGCGCAACGAGCAGGTGCTCCTAGATCAGGCCGGCGACTATCTCCGCCGCGGCTCGTCGGACGACGACGACTCCGAAGAAGAGGTCTTGGGGCTCAGGCACCAAAACGAGTCCGATTCAAACGCCGGCTCCGGCAGCGAGGACGGCGCCAGCGACGACGAGGACGCGGCCCACGACGGCGGCGAGCGCTGGGGCTCCAAAAAAAACTACTATGGCGGCGACGACATCAGTGACGACGATGGCGGCGCGGACATGGCCGAGGAGGCGCTCAGGCAGCAGAAAAAACACTTGCAGGAGCTCGCCATGGACGACTTTGTGGACGAGGACATGATGCAGGACTGGCACGCCCACGTGGGCGGCGCCGACGCGCCGGCCGGCGCGTTTGCGGACGCGGTGGTGGCGGACGCCGCGGTGGATTGGTCTGCGCTCGACGACGCCGAAAGGCTCCAGCTCTTGGGCGCGCTGCACCCCGAGTTCGTGCCGCTCTTGGCGGAGTTCCACGCGTTGCGCCCGCGGCTCGCGCGGCTCCAGCAGGACGCGCCGCGGCCGCTTGCCCGGGCCAAAGCCGTGGCCTTGGCCGCGTACCTCGGCTCCATCTGCTCGTACTTCTCGCTCTTCGTGGACCACATGCGGGCCGGGCCGCACTTCTCCATGAAGGAGCACCCGGTCATGGAGTCCATTCTCGGCACGCGGGAAGTGTGGAGACAGGCGCGCGGGCTCGGTCCAGACACGGTGCCTGCTGCCGGCGCCCTTGCCGGTGAGGGTAAGACAGGTGCCGGTGAGGATGAGGCTTTTGGTGAACGTGAGACTGGTGCCGGTGACCGGGAAATGTCGGGCGCCAGCGAGCCCGAGACCCCCGGCTCCGATCACGTGCACACCGACTCCGAGGACACGGACCTGGACATGCCCGGCTCGGACGACGAGCACGTGCCGGCGCCCGCGGTCCACATCGACATCACGGCCAAGAGAGCCATCCGCAGGCCCACGGCCGTGTCTACGGGCGACTACACCGAGGCCTCGGCGCCCGACGCCATCGACCGCGAGGAGAAGGCGCGCCGCAAGAAGTCGTTGCGCTTCTACACGTCCAAAATCGACCAGGCCGTCAAGAAGCACGCGGCCAGCGAGCGGTTCGACGGCGACCTGGACTTGCCCTACCGCGAGCGGCTCTTCGAGAGGCAGCAGCGGCTTGTCGAGGAGGCACGCAAGAAGGGCCTGGGCGGCGCCGCGATAGGCGAGGCCTTGGACGGCCAGGACTACGGCTCGGGCGACGAGAGGCTGGCGCTGCAGATCAACGAGGACGCGGGCGAGTACTACGAGAGCATCCGGCAGGCCAAGCTGGAGCAGAAGGACGCGCGGCGCACGGCGCACGGCCAGGCCAAGAAGGCGGCGCAGTTGGGCCGGTTGGGCGAGTTGGCGGAGCACGCGGACGAGCACGGCAAGCGCGCGTTGAACTTCCAGATCATGAAGAACAAGGGCCTCACGCCCCACCGCCGCAACGACAACCGAAACGCGCGTGTCAAGAAGAGAAAGCGGTACGAGCAGGCCCAGAAGAAGCTCAAGTCCGTGCGCCAGGTGTACGACGAGAGCACGCGCGGCCCGTACCAGGGCGAGAAGACCGGTATCAAGAAGGGCTTGTCGCGGTCGGTGCGGCTCCAGTAGGTGTGTATTATATATTCAATCGCGTGCGGCGCTTGTGTTTCCTCCTTGGCGCTTCGGTGCGGCGTCCCTGCTCATGGCGGGCGCAGGGCTCGCCGCTCACCGGCTGAAGGCAATGTCGTCTATCCGCAAAATGGACTTCACCGTCTCCGCGGCCAACGTCACTGCGCTAGTGTTGACCAACGTGGGCTGCAAGACGTTTTCAGTGAAGGTGTTGGTGGTGCCAGACCGTCTCACCGAGATCCCGGCGTTCTTCTCGCCCATCTCGTGCTTGTTGCGCAAGTCCGTGACCACGTTGATGGGGTTCATGCCCGCGTTCTCCGCCAACGTGGTGGGGATGACCTCCAACGCCTGCGCGAATTCCTGATACACAAAGTGCTCCACTCCGCTCAACCGGGTGGCCTCCTTTGCCAACACCCGCGACGCCTCGATCTCGGGCGCACCGCCACCGGCAATCAACGCCTTCTCCTTCACGAGGCAGCGCACGACACAGAGCGCATCGTGGATGGACCGCTCGGCCTCGTCCAAGACCAACAGGTTGGCCCCACGCACAATCACAGACACCGTGGGGCGGGTGTTTTTCGTGCTGACGCCGGTGATGCGCACAATCTTGGAGCCTGCGGACTCGGCCTCCTCCACCAAGTCAGCGGAGCCCAAGCGGTCCTCGGCAAAGTTGTCGATGTCGGCGATAGGCCTGCAGCCCGTGGCCTTGGTCAAGAACTCGACCTCGTCGCGCTCCACGTCCTTGATGACCATGATGTTTAACTTGGCCAAGAAGTGCAAGGCCAAGTCGCTGACTGCGTCACGCAAAATTGACTTTTGCACCAACAACACGTTGCACCGTGCCTTCTTAATCTTTTTGCAGATGTTCAACAAGTACGCGCGCTCCTCCTTCAAGATCTTGTCCATTTGTCGGTAGTCACTCACCACCACGCTGTTCTCCATGTCCGGCTTGGGTGGCGACAACTGGAACTGGACAAGTGCAATGCGCGCCTTCTCCACACGCGTCGGGCCGCCGGCGTTCTTCGCCACCGTCTGCGTGAGCACCACGCCATCGACCAAGGCGGTGTCGTCGATGGTGCCGCCGACCTTCTTGACGAGGCGGATGTCATTCAAATCGACGTTTGTTTGTTCGCTGTTCATCACCTTCAACACGGAGTCCACCGCCAATGGCGCCAAGACCAGCGAGTACTGTGCCACGATCTTCAGCGAGAGCGACGTTGCCGCAGCCTTGACCAACACCTCGCGGTCACCCAACGAGACCGGGTGGGACATCTCCAAAAACACCTCGCAGACACGCGCCGCGGCCCGCTGGAACAGCTCGCCAATGAGCGTCGGGTGGATTCCTTTGTTGAGCAACCGCTCTGCGGCCGCCAAAAGCAGGCCGGTCAAGATGGCCACGGAGGTCGTGCCGTCGCCCGCCTCGACGTCCTGCGCAGCACTCACGGCCACGAGCATCCGCGCGGCCGGGTGCAAGATTGCCATGTGCTTCAAAATGGTCGCGCCGTCATTCGAAATTATGATCTCGCCGTTCTTTGTGCGGATCATCTTGTCCATGCCTTTGGGACCAAGCGACGTGCGGATCGCGTCACTGACCGCGCGGGCAGCAAGCACGTTGGCCTTGCGCACCTCCTGCGGCTTCTCCTTATCGCGGAACGTGGCGTTCGATGGCGCTGGGGTTCTCGCGGGGGGCATTTCTGGGGATTGGTGTGCGTTAGGTGGGGGTTGGAAGACAGTGAAGGGAGTCTTCTTTTCATGTTCTTTGGTTTTTCGGCGCGCGGTGCACGGTGCACGGGTCCGGCGCTGGTGATGCGCGCTGCTCATGATGCGTGGTGCACGGGTGTGGGATCTGGGGTATGGTGAAGGGGGTCCTCGGCGGCTAGACAAATCAGCTGAGTGAATAAACTGTGAATGGGATCGGGTAAACGGTTCTTTGACGTGGTTGGTGTCTTCTGTTTTTTCTCAGTCATTGGTCAATTTCCTTTTGGTAGTATTCATCAACATCTAATCATCAACATAGTGGGGATGTTGTAAATTTGTATTTTTGCAACATTTACTGTGAGAAAGGAAAAAACTTGATTATCATGCATCGAAAGCACATGTCCCGAGAAAGACACTTTTGGAGATCCTACTTGAAGTATCACTTTCAGTTCTCCGGCTTATTTGGTACAGGAAAAAGACGTGCACTACTGCTCGTAATTTTGACGTGGTTGTTTTGACGTAAGGCCAGAACTGTCGCAAGTGAATGACTGTGCATAGTACCGAGAGTCACGTGACAGGACAGACATGTAACGTGTTCCGTAGACATATTAGAAGCTACGTATCAATATACCGGCGCTCCTTGCCTTCGAATATACAAGAAAAAGTAGACGGGCTCAAAATCAACGTTTGGCGATGGTTCTGAGTAGGGTTTCGTGTCTTCCAAGTAAGTTCGTCTGGAATCGGAAGCAGATATTAGAATCGAAACGTAGTAGACGATTGCCACCCAACATGCCGGCAGCGAAAATACGGTAGGAGGTTCCATGTCATCTTGATGCTTTCAGCTCAAATGGTGTGTGAAGTTAGTCTTCCTAATATGCTGGCTACTCTTTTCCGGGTTTGCCACCTGGACTCTGATCTGTCGTGCTGTCATAGGGGCTTTGATTCTGGGAGGGACTGTATATTGTAGCCTACGAAATTTGCAATGCATTGCAAAATATGGTGTTACTATAACAGCCTCATGTGCTGGTAAGCATCACTGCATCACAAAAGCAATAGATCAGTCAGAGCTTCCAAAAAAGCCTTGTATTTCTTTTGGGCGACCTCTAACTTAACCGGAGAAAAAAGAAAGGTCAGTGGGCAGTTGAACCTTGAAACTCTCGGAGTCTTATGCCAAAAACATGACTTTCGTATCATACGTATCAGCATGAATGCCAAATCAAAATTTATTTGAGGAAAAGCAAATTAAAAGACGGTTAAGCAAGTTTCTACAAGAGTTCTTTTTGGATATAGCCTTCAAGTCCCAATGCCCCTGTGGCCATGTGCGTATTGGTGCTTAAAAGTCCTATATCCTGCCCGATAAACCTTAGTTGTATTTTAATTTCTTTTACGGATCCACAATATTCCACTTGTTACTCATGTTTAGATCTTGATCAGAGGAAGAGAAATGCCACTGCGTCTAATACCGGCAGTTCGCATCCTTCCAAAATCACGACAAACTTCAACAAAATCTGGGCCCTAGATCAGAAAAAAAAAAGCCATGTCTCTACAGCCCAAGCTCTATTTTTCTAAAACTAGCTAAACACGAGTCACCCGATTCCTGGCTGCTGAAACACTTTGCAGCCAATGTGGACGGGAGGCACGGGTGTGCTGGGCTCATCTCGCATCGGGCCTCTAATCTCCCCAGATTATTGCCTTCGTGGGTGCCTCGCTTTAAATGCAAGCCTTGTACTAAAAGCATGACGAAACTGGCATTCACGTTCAACGACCTTCCGGTCACGTGCGCACAGGTCAACGAATGCTCGTATTCCTCCTGGAGTCCGCACTTCGCCAGCCATATCCCGGAAGCCAGAATCCTAAGTGACATTCCAGACGCCTTTTTGGAGTACTTGAACAGCGACAGTATACGGTTGCCGCCTGCTCGCTACGATGACTATGTAACTGCAAATAGTGACAATGAATATAGCGACTGGGAAGACGATATCCAGGAGTCGGGCGCAAGTACAGCACAGGCCGAAAATCCATGTGCTGGGTTTGCTGATTTCGACAAGAAAATACAAGAGGTTGTCGGGAAGTGGAGGCACGTGATGCCCAAGCTCAATTGGTCGGCTCCAAAAGACGCACGGTGGATCTTGATCAACAATTCCCTCCAGTGCACGTCGAATGCAGACATCTATCTTCTCCTAAATGCGTCGGATCACATTGCACATGACTTGGACGGCCATATATACGACGACTGCGAGGACAAGGATGGAGGCCCACGCATCAAGCCGGAAATAGTGCTCAAGAAATGGAGCAGGGATTGGAACCCTGCACTAGAGTTCCGTATTTTCGTGAAAAACCGCCGGATTCTCGGCGTTTCCCAGCGCGATATGAACCACTACCAGTTTCTCCAGGAGTTGCACCCAAAACTCGTCGACTTGCTCGAGAGGTTTCAGACACAGGTCATTCGGAAGTCGGCTTTTCCACTCAAAGACTACATCATGGATGTGTACGTGCCCGCCCCACACGAGAAGATCAGCATTGTGGATATCAATCCGTTTGCTAGAAAGTGGGACAGTCTTCTCTTCACGTGGCACGAGCTTCTCGAAAAGGACAATGACGGTGTTTTCGAGCTTCGGCTCATCACAGAGACGAATTTGGGGGCCATGGCCCGAAAGGAGCACAGTGAAAACCAGGTGCCAATTGAGGTCGTGGATGCTCTGATGAACACTGAGGCGATGGTGGAGTTGGCGAAAACGTGGGGTATCAAAGACGCATAGGCAGCATGTGCCAGAGCCAGTTTCTATACACCATGGTTTTGCCAAATCCTGCGGACGAGTCTGCAAATATGGCTTTTGCGGTGGTTCAGTGGTGTTTTTGGAAGACACACGCCAGCTTATATGGATCCAATCCAGCTCTGCAGAAGAGCTCTTGAGACTATATTGGATCCGTTTCTCCCTGTATATCGACTTTTGTGTGACATAGCGAATTGATGTTTTGGCCGGAAGCAATATGGCTTCTGCAGATTGGTGTTTTTTCCCAGCCCAATATTGTACTACTTCCAGCTGCAACCTGTTATTTTTTTTGGTTCGCTGCAAATGTCCATTCTGACAGAAAGTGCATATATTGCTGGGGTACCCTCTGTCAGACACTAGCACGGTCGGACCATCGTCAGACATGAATACGAATACATAACCCAGCAAGAAACGCGAATATATATTTTGGTTTTCGAGACGGCTTTTCTTCTTGCAGAACCTGCTTTTAAGCCTTGTGACCCCAGAGAGTCGGCCGAGCATACAAGCTTGGTCTGATGGTCCACGCATGCTTTTTTTGCAAAACGCGCCAACGGGTCTCAGGCGCTTCGCTAATACGCCCACCTTCCTAAAGCGGTAGCATTCCCGCGCAACTGCGGGGACCCCCACGCCTGTTTTTCCGATGCACCATATATAGTGGGGGAACCGCAACCAGCACTGAACTACTTCTCCAACCAATGATGCAAACCAACATCGACGCCAAGAATGTATGTCAATCGACATGTCCCGTGATACTGCGCATTTCTATTGCGCCATCTTTTGCCACGCTTTTACACTAACACCCAGATCTTGTTGCCCTCATACAGAGGCCGACTCCTCGAAGGGATCAAGTATAACCGTGCCAACAATACCCTTCTATGGGTGGACATTATTTCTGCTGAAATCCACCGTGTCTGTTTAGACAACGAGGCTGATTTAGAGGCCTCGCACGAGGTGCTTAAGTTTGCAGAGGCAGGCGAATCGATTGGTGCCGTGCTCCTTACCAAAGATCCAGACATCGTGTTGGCATGTGCCAAGTACGGCGTGGCCACGGCCAGCTTCAAAACAAAGCAATTTGCCTATATGGTCAAGTATCCTCTTTGTGCCGAATCGGCCGCCAGCTTGCGGTCCAACGACGGGCTTATCGATCCATGGGGCAACATTTGGATCGGGCTCATGAACGACTTTCCCACCGTCAAGGCCCAGGGAAAAGTCGAGCCTGCAGGCGTGTTGTACCGCATATCCGCTGCGGACTTGTCCGTGAAAACAATGGTGAAAGACGCGTACATCCCCAACGGCTTGGCCTTCAGTAACGACGGAAACTCGCTTTTCTGGACGGACTCGTTGACGTTCACGGTCTGGCAATTTGACTATGACCACGAACACGTGACTCTCAAAAACAAGCGGCCGTTGCTTGCTATACAGCCCGTGTACCCGGGGGTCTCCAGCCCCGAGCCGGACGGGCTTTCCTGCACCTCGCAGGGAGACTTCTACCACGCTATTTTCAGCACCTCCAGCGTCCTCAAATATGACAGCAGGGGAGAGGTCCAGCAGAAGCTCATGGTCCCGGCAGAGCTTGTCACGTGCACCGGGCTAGGGGGTGCTGCAGACGACGAGTTGTACATCACCACGGGCCACCAGAACCTCCTCGATTCTGGGGCCGAAATCGATGCTTTGGACAAAACCGGCGATTTGGGCGGGTTTTTATTTCGCGTGAAGCTTGGCCATAAAGCCCACAGCCAGCCTGCCGCTGTTTGGGGCGGGCAAATTTAGGGCCTGGCAGAAGGAGAGCGAAACGAAGGAGGAACAAGTGGTTTGGCTCCGGAAGTCGCCAAATTCGGGCGCAGTATGTCCTTTCTATTTCCTTCAGGTTCAACGCGGCTTCGGCGCTAGCCATGGCTCACAGCCTTATTTATCTGGGTGGCTTATCTTCGTACTGGCCGCTCTAATATAGACACCACGCACCGCAAAAGAGCCTACTTTGTTTCCAGGTCATGTAGATAAAGCACACGCTGCACAAACTCCTCCACCAACTCGTTTTCTTCCGGGCCTCCCATGCGGAGCTCGCAGAGCCTCATGTTGACAATCTCTTTGCGGTTTTCATATATGGGTTCTCGTGTGAGCAGCGAATCCAGCAAGAGTTTGAGGAGAATCGAGAGATGGACCTGGAGAGCCTTATACTGAAGGAGAGACTTGATCACAGGATCTCTGGCGATCTTTTCGAAGATTTGTGTCAGGGTTTGTCCAATCTCCCTAGGCACTGGAGACACAGGCCTTGGAGACACGGGTCTTTCTTCCAGAGCAGGCTTAGTGATAGAGAAATGGGAGTGCTTTGCGTTCTTGAAACAGACAAGCGAGCAGTAGTCCACGCTGCACGTGGGGCACTTGTATTTGGCCTGGTTTTCTGTGCAGATGGCGCATGTTCCGAGTGCCATGATGTGACTTGTGGATTGAGATGAGCACCGGCTTGACATATTTAGTGGTCCGCGAGTCGCGGCCATCGGGCCTCGCGACATGCAGAGAAGCTGGAACCGAGAAGGACAGAACAAAACAAGCGTGGAGAAACGAAATGGAATCAAAGAGAAAACGATCAAAGCTTCTGGAAAAGAGAAAATCAATGAAGCTAGAAACGAAACAAGGCTCAAGCACAGCAGCCAGACGACCTTTCGGGTCCATGAGCTTAGTGCAATTCCCTACTCTTGTACATACAACTAGGCATATAGGCTTTGGAGCTCGCTCAAACCGCAGATTATTTTTGGTGACTAATTCTCTAAGAAGTGGCGAAAGACTACAGCTCGTACAACAATCAGCTGCGAGATCTGCTTGGGTGAAATGTATCTGAAAAGCCCGGGATCCTAGCAGACGTAATTAGTATGCGTTGGGAGTAGACGGGTTGCATGCAGAAACGATATTTCCTGATCCAGTCACTTCGCGCAATTTTGAGTGGAGGCTTTCCGGCATGCCAGTGCTTCTCGCCGTGTTTCTGCAAGTCCGCAGTCCGACTGTAGATAGATCATACAGAGAGCGCAAGCCCAAGTACTTTATTGTACCTCTAGCAGCCAATAGCATGATGCAGTGGCTCAGCACTCTCAACATCGGCAAAGCATAGCATACCAAGGACTGAAGCCAACAATTGTTAGAATTGTCAACAAGATTCAGTGAAAAAGAAATGTTGTGGTTCGCATCTTCCAAATCGCAAACCCTCATACACCAGTGGTTCTTGTTTGCTGTTCCTGGGATTGACAAGCTTGTGTGGTTTGGGGACTAATTCTCTATTATGCCAAGTCATGTAGATTATTCAAACAAAATTCTTGACCACAACTGGTGCACCTGTGGGGTATCAACTCATTTAATCTGTACTCGCAATCCCAACCATTATTTCTCTGGTTTGAAAAATTGTTTCAAGACTTACAGCTTTTTTCTGTGTTGTGTAAGGGATTATTATTGGATATGACTATAGAGGTAATGTGGCTGTCGAAAGAACTACTCACATGCGTCAAATTGAGGATAATTCCGACATATACGAAAAGTCTGTTATAAAGGGACAGAAATTGTTGAAAAAAGCGGGCTTTTTATTATCACTCATTATATAGCTGCGCTTTCTTGCGCTTCCATATTTTCTTGAATTCTCCTGTGCGCTTCAAGCAACGGTGTGGACTTGGACGTGTTCTTTGTTGGAGAGTTAAGATACCGTAGTCTTGCTCACCAATATTGCGGCAGCTTAGCTGACCTAGACTCGAGACGATTATCATCTCTCAGCCCTTGGACTTACGTCAATATTGAAACTGACTGTATTGTAAAGCTCATCAAATCATGGAATTTTTTGCGAGTAGCGTGAATTCTCACTCCTGAAGACTGTCACCGGAGTTGACCATGATCTCCTCTTGCGGTCTAAAATGGCGATGCTGTATAGTATACATCATTGACAGCTCATATCAGCGAATTCCAAAGAGTCATCATGCAGATTTATCAGGTCATTGTCTCTGTAAATTCGCCAAAGTTAAAAGACTTCGGGGCTGAATGCTGAATCAGGAGATAATCAAGTTGTTGCGCGAGTAAGCAAATATCCCATTCAAATGCGCAGTATTTGGACTTCAAGAAAAAAAATCCAGAACTTGAGCCTTCACTAATGACTCGTGATGGAAATATATACTTAGGTGTATGAAGGAGGATGGAATGTCTCATGCCAAGGAGATTGGGTGACTTAGAATTCAAGTTTTCATGCTTCATGAAATGTGCAATTCAAAGACCAGGCATTCAAATCTTAGTACACAATGTGACAACCGAAACCAGCCACTGTTCGCAGAAAATCGTGACGTCAAATAAATATTCACCTATATTTCTTTTTCTCATTGTTTCTGATTTCAGCAAAGCCGACAAAACCTGCCGCCATGCTGATGCAGCTCTTCATTGCCCAAACTCATATAAGTGTCCAAAAATACGAAGTAATTAACTCATCAGTTTATCAACGGTTGACTCCAGGGTATGTCTTAATATACTATATACACCTGATGTGGCTTTGAGATCCTGGAGAAGAACAGGACCTTGGTTATGCATGCTACTTCTACCCTAGACACACAAGGCACCTGCTTTGAAGTGACCATCTTTCCTTTTACTTTGTTCAACTTGTCATTCGCCAAAGCTTCGTATCCCACAATATCTACGCAAAGCAGCGCCGGTTACGTAGCTCGCGGACTGTGCTTCTCTATGCAAATTGAGCGTGACATGTGCTTACTCCCGTTCTCCGCCTCAGATTTAAACAATTGTACAAGAATCTAGAACGCCTGTTGATAGCCACCAAATTCAAGTGTATGATGCCAATAACAACCAAATGTTTATCTAAAGCGCATGGTCATTTCATAGTTGTTAGATTCCTGGCTTAGCTTATTATGGTACTTCGATCCCCATTTAGCAGATATTAGGCTTTAGTTGCACTGGAAAGTACCAGCAGGGTATGCATATTTTCTCTCTCCTGGAATAATGTAGCTGCAGTATAATCTTTATCAACGAGGCCACTTATATCTGCTTGAATGCTGGCATTTCGACCAATTGGCTGATAGTTATTTTGTGACTCGGATTCAACACAAACCTTAGACACAGAATACAGCCGTATAAACCATCTTACTTGATCGCTTGAGTATTCTTTGTGAGTAGTCTATTTCCCTGATTGATTTTAGTCTCTGACGACGGGAAGCCTTTCTCCTTATATTTGATTTTTGGAGCTACAGAAGTCATGGCTTGTGTCTTTTCGGCAACAATCTATGCCATAGCCACAGAGCCATCACTCAGGATGACATCTCATTTCACAACCATTGTCAGAACCCATCCCAAGTTACAGTGTGCCTTATAATCTCCGACTCTTCTGATTGTAAAGCTACGTTATCCTTTAATGACTAGTCTTGCGGGAAGGTCGACCCTTTGAGAACGTTCAAAACATTCAGACAAAACCGAAATTCACCAGTTACGAGACATATAAGGAATGTGGCAAGCACGATCTTGATTGACTCTGAAGGGAACTGTGCAGAAAGAGTGCCTTGTTAGAGTACGTGGAAAGAAGGTGCTGCTTGCGGGAATGCCACAATCTTAAATTTCTGCGGCTTTTTGTTTTCCTTCTTCAGGGGTCAGTACTGGTATTAGGTCTTGACATTGGACCTGGGGGTTGGGAAGGCTTCGATTTCAATATGTCTTTCACTCCGACGCAGATATTTGTCATGCCAGCGCTTCCACGGTGTAAGCTCAGAACACTGATTTTTTCTTTGAAGCTAAGTAAGAAGCTTGTGTTTTGATACGCTGTTTGAAACTGGGAGAGCTTCAGACTGATAAACAAGATAAGTGATCGAAATCTCACATGCATTGCCTGGACATAATCACGTAGCTCAATCTATGGGGAGTTTCATGAAACTTGAGTGGAATGGATTTCAAAGTGTTTCACTGGAGGCTGTCACTGAATTTCTTCAGACAAGACTACTTCGAGGGCCTGAAAAGAATAGAGCCTTCCATCCTAGGTACCTCAAAGAATCCCGTACATTGAGTCAAATTCCCAGTATGCTCTGTTCTTACAAACGCCATCAACTTTACTTTTCAGTTAGACTCTTAGAGACTGTCAGATGGCGCAAAAATATTCCCGGGTCTTTCAAAAGGCGGCAAGCTTGAATTATCACTCACTAGTTACAAACAGTTTTTTTCGGATGCCGTGGTAATACAAAAAAACCACCCCAGTTTTGACTGGCGAATAGCACGCTGTGATCTCTTCACGATTTTGTATGCATCATCGAAAACGCTACATATCCATATTCGGAGTCCAGATCCGCTTTTACGATGGCGCAGGTGACATGACAAAGTAGCTAGAAAAGCGGCCGAAATCAAAATTCAGGAAAAAAAAAAAGAGAAGAACATGGGCAATGTTCCTTCTCGTATTGGCACCCCTACAGAGGACACTTGAAATATCTCGAAGTCAAAACGAAGTTGGCCTAACTAATCTTGGACTTGCACATTCTTGGAGGGTCGCATTTTTAAACTTACGAGAATACTTCCAAAAAAGAGCAAACGGAAAGCGGTAGCGGGAGCACCGCGTCAAATGTCCCTATGACGGAGAACCATAAAACCAGACCGATTCGTAATCTAGGCTCTGACCGGGCAACTACCCCCGACAAATACAAAAAGCTTGTTGACGGGCCAAAGAACTAAGCCTGCCGGAAGGGTCGGCCAGCCCGGCAAGAAATGTTCTTATTGTGAGTTCTTTGTTCCAAGCCAGGAAAAATGTAACCACTCATTGTGGTCAGTACAACGTGGCAGTCGATGCGCATTCTGGCACCTCAGCAAAGAGCGAAAAATGGAGTTGTATACGCCTACGGGCCCCCAGAAATGAGGCCGGTGAAACAACCATGAAACCACAACACTGGCAGTCGGGCATACAAGAGAAACTGAGGGAGCCTTGTCGGGGTATTGTTTTCCCCAACGAGCCCGCGCCCATCCTTGCCAGTCTGAGCTTGCACGCTTTTCGCATGACCCCCGACATGCCACCTATGCGCATCTCATTGGCCGGGTGCCTGCATGCAGAGCGGCTGTAGGCCAAGGCCCGCTGCTCAACTCATCAAAGCGCAAGCAAGAATAATCAAAAAGCCTCATTAAACCTTGGCACCAGGCGCTTAACGGGAGAGTGCCTCAGTGAGTTCTTGGCTCTGAGCCTATGTCCCAGTCCGCCAATTCGTGGCGTGGGTCTTACGGCCAGACCGGCCGGTTTCCAGCAGGAGCCTAGGCTGAAACATCTGGGATCGCTTTTACTCCGCTGCATCCGCAAGCCCCTATTTGCAATAGGTTTCTTGAAAAAAGGGTATAATATTTTTTGCTTTCTTTTTTCACCCAAAAGCCAGCTGTATGCACGACGCGCCCCGTGCTCTTGACCTACATGATCTCTGACCATTCCAATGCCACTTGCACAGCTCCAACCCGCAAGAGACAGACGGCTTGAGTGGTTGCTCGGTCAAAAATCGAGGATGAAGAAAAGGGAAATACCCCCGGGTGCTACAGAAGGAATGTTGGTTTCGTAAATGATGGCAAACTGCCATATGCTAGGTGTTCATTAAAAATATCATACGCTAAAGTGGGAGGTGCATGCAGGAGCAAGCGCGGATCCCATGCCGCACATCCCGTGGCCGAGCTTCCGCCTCTTTGCAGGTTGGCTCCACTCGTCGCCGCCCAACGCCATGCGCTGCGGGGTCTGCTGGAGCAGCGGCAGAGGATACAATTGGAAGGATTGCGTTGCCATAGGCGCTATGCCCGCAAGGCCTGTAGGCAACGCAACCGGTGTGTATGGTTCTCTGGGCGACGGCGTCATTGAACTGATGTAGGAAAGCGGACTGGTGTTGATCGGAAACGCCAGCGGCGGAGTGGCCAAGCCGTAATTGTAGAGGGCAGACGTGCCTCGTTTGGCCCCATTCCGGAAAGGGGCACTCGAGGAGCTGTCGACCGCCAACCGCAACTGGGTCACGTGCTTGCCGTTCAAGCTGTGGAAAAGCATCCAGAGCCGTGGGTCATGCTTCGTGTTCAAGGCAAAGTCCAAGGATGCCAAGAAGTTCTGCTCGAGCTGGTTCAACAACGCTAGCGACGGCCGGAGGTCCGAGCATTTATGGATTATGCTGTGCCACGTCTTCAAAGTGTAGCTCTGGTCGTTGATGAATTTGTTGGCGAGTATTAGAGATGCAATGACCATGTAATGATGGAGTGAGTCTGACTCGCTGTTGTCGAGACTGTTGACCGAGTTGGCCTGGTACTTGGAGAGGTAGATGAGTGCCACGGCAAGATTGGATGGCGAGAGATCAAGCGAGTCAACCACCCGGGCCAATTGCTTGCCGCCAGACCCGTCGCTTTTCTTCGTCTGTAGTATAAGAAAGCAGCACGTGACAAAAGTCTGTGAGAAGGCGCTCATGTCAGTGTATGATGGGTGTAGAAGGGGTGTTAAGGATAGCAAATGAGTATTGCTTGGGAAAGAAAGGATGGAACCGTGAAATTGTAAGAACTGCCCCGGCCCGGCCTACGAGTGGAATTGCCAATCTTTAATACTGTCAACTCTTCTCACGCTCTGCGTGTTATGCGACAATAGAAGATGTAAATTTCCCGGCTGCATCATTGCAGCTGCATGAGGGAGCGCCCATGGCGTTTCCCAGGTTCGCAGCCATTGGGCTGCCCAACGCCTGGCTCACAAGCATGCGCGCATCTTCCATATGCCAGACTCCCAGCAGACCTGCAGGTCCTGCTTTAGCAATGCAAGCACAAGGGAAATCACGTTGGCTGGAAAAAATAACATTGCTTACTGGAGCAGTTGCCTCTCGCTATCCACGCCTTTACAAACGAGGCCGGCCCACGAGTCGAAAGAAGAAGTGAACCGACTGCGGGAGCCCGCACTTTGCTACAAGAAGATCGCTTTTGCCCCAACCTTCTCCGCTCTTTGAGATACAGACCCCGTATTACCGAGGATCATCTCAGAATCTGCATGACTTGTAACAACCCCAACTTACGAACCAATCACCAAAGGGAACACAGAATGTTATCTTCGTTCGTAGAGCAAAACTCAAAACAGCTGACCCAGCCTGCATGCCAAGTCCTCACGTTTCACCAAGGCCATTCGTGGCAAAACGTCAAAACTTTTAACGCCGAGAGACGCGGCCAGAACTGTCTGCACGAACAGAAAGGTCGGATTTGTTTGAGGCAACGATTCCGTAGCTGCGTAATGAAGAACGTAACTGCTCTGGCAGCATAAGCCACTGCGAAAGCGAAAAAAATTAAGAAAAACACAAGGGCTTAAAAGTATATAAAGGTTGTATACGATAACACGTGTGCTTCGAAAACCAACTTTTGTGAATAAAATAAAGGTGGACTATTATTTCCCGGCAGCTCTCGTCTCACGTGATAGCGAGGTAGAGCTATAGAATGTAACCAAACAATAAATGCTGCTCTAGCCGGCCTAATAACTTGCATATGTGCGCGAGCCAATGGGTGTGCATACCATCTCGCAGACGCTCCTCCTTTTACATCACACCTCTTAGTTGCCACTGTTTTTGCAGTCACCTTTTTCCCCTGTGTCTTACACATGGCAGGAACCCGAGTCGGTAACCAACACACGGTGTGCTTCGGGTCGTAGTGAGAGGGCCGTAAAACACGTACTGACTACATCGGGTCCTCCAATGAGCATATCATACGAAGCGACATTTAGCTGAACTGATACATCTTGTCTCTCATAGATGACGTAATACTCATTTAGAAAGGCTCCTCGCTTTTACACCTGCGCATGAAGAATGTCTGGCATCTAGATGTTCCTCGGCTGCATATGCGGCATGCTTTAACTTTTTGAAATTCTCACAATATCATGCACATGCTGCGCACTCGTCTCGATTTTTGCTCTCAATTGTCATTCCCAACCTTTGATTTCACGAACGACAGACTTGTTTCTTGAGACCACTACGTAGCTCATCTTTAGAAAATTGAGATGACTCACACATTCATTCCCGCCCGCATATCTGAAGGAGGTAATCTGCGCGCAAGGTCACACACAATTTGCTGAAGGCACCATAGTCACTGTATCTGCAGTACCGCGGTCTGTGGCTGCCTCGTAGCAGTCGGCCGAGGAAGCCATCATTCCAGGACTTGTTACTATTTCGGGATTCAGATCACACATGCCCTATTGGCAGGAAAATCTCCGCACCCCTATGCCTAAATGTTTGAGACGCATTCAGCTCATATCGTGCAGCAAGGCAGTGCCACATACGAAGCACTAAATATAGGTAAGTTCCCGATTTCATGGTTCAAAACAGTTGCCACATGATTTGTGTTGTAAACGAAAATATACCAGGGGGCTAAGGGAGCTTGGGTGAGGACTGAAATTTTGGACATTACAGATTCACCCCGAGTCATGTGAGACACCCTCCCGCCTAGACCAAAAAAAAAAAAAAAAAAAACTGAGTATCCCAATTGGGGTGAGGCCAATGCGGATGGCGCGATGCTCTTGTGTGCCGTATACTCTATTTTTCGGGGGACATGGGCCGGCAAGTAGAAAATCCGAAACAGGGGACTGGCGAGCGCACTTTTGAAATCTGGTACCTGCTCACTAGATTGCAGTAATAGTGAGACTGCAATGAGATATTATTTTCCACTCCTCGTATAGGCAGACCGTAGCATCACTAAATAGACCTTTCTGTTCTACCCTCCAATCTGTCGCAGATTTCAAGTGTCGTATATTTATTTTGTACCCTGCCTCGCTCTCATTTCTGCTTGCTATGGATTTCCAAGAGATACTCGAAACATACTTCCTGAGCGTGTATGTGGGGTGGCTGCTTGAGGAGACGGGGATGCCTGATTTGCGCTTTTGTCAAATGCTGTTTCAAAATCTTGGCAAAGAGGCAAAACTATAATAGCTCTCTCCCGCATATCTGCAGGACACATCTTGTGAATTATTGGCCGTCAACCATCGATCTTTCCGTGGTCACCTGAGCTTCACAGCAGGTATGAAGTGGGGCCCTACAGAAGTGTTATTTGGTAGCCGCGAAAAATATTTATTTTCCTTCCCAGGTGATACAGGTGGCCATTACCTGGTGTTCGTATGATGAACATGTACTTCGGGAATGTGAAAAGTTGGAGAATCTACATGGGCACAACGAGGCTCTGAGATTTTGTGGGAGGCACGACGTCATCCTGCTAAGCTATGGAGAATATCCTAGTGTTTCCCTGTGTTGGGATATGAGCCCAATTTTTGTAATATGGGAAGTTCACGTGGGTCGTGGATTGACAGGGTTCAACCTGTTTTCATGTATAGAAACCCGTTATCGGGTGCCCAATGTACCCAAACTATCCTGTGAAAGAAGACGCTCTGATCCTTGGTGATCAGCTCTACTTTTGGAGTTTCGGATCCCCACTTCCACTTGGAGCAGGAATACGCAATTCCGACCGATAAGTCTACAAGACAACTAAGGACCTGGATCTGGACGGCATATTCACTTTTTGCCACTCCGGGTGCAGAAACAATCCAAGGCAGGGTTACGACTTGTATCATGCAATCACTTGGCGCAAGAACTGAGCGCTAGTAGCAGAGAAAGCCATACCCCCACGCCGCATTGAAATCCAATGTTCACCACACACAAACTTGATTTTTGCATCCCAGGCAAACCGCAATTCTTCACAATATCGACCCGTAGATAAGGTCTCGGTTAGAGACAGGCTTCCTTCTTGCTACCAAAAATGCATTGACAAATTATCTCTTGTAGCGTATATACAGGCAGGAAATAACCAGACAATACAAAATGGTGCCGCGAACGACTAGCCAGTGTCAATACTGAAGCCGATCGAATTTCGCGACAATGCGTATAACACTGACGTGGGAATGGTGACACAGAAGTATGTCCTACCGGTTCTGGGCTTCGTGTTTCCGCATGTTGCTCGGTAACAGCATTTTGGGCTCATGATGGTTAGGTTCCGAATTCGGAGGAACTACAGCCGCTAAAGCAGCCGAGCTTTCTTTGACACTCAGGGATCGGCAAAATATTAAGCATTTCGTGTAAATTGAGGCTCATTTGTAAGCCGTAACCAGGGAATGGGATTTCTCGCGGTTGATTGGGTCTGCTCACATTCTCCTAGCCCTTATCGGAGGCAAAAGCGTACAGTACTGATTCTGCACATGAAAACCTCAGCTCCAGCCTAGACCAGCCTGATCATAAAATGAGACGACTCTGGTCGGGCTTCAAAACCACTCAAGTGGAATTATTGAACATAAGCGTATTGTGGATGGCAGGTGATAAGCCGGGCTATGGTCTATCCTGACCCAGTGCTGGAACTCTCGGCTGCCCGAATTCTTGTGTGCAACGAAACGCATGACGTACGGTCTAAAGTGATCGGGTGAATTCTCGGATCGAAAAAGGGTCTATTTAGTTCCAAATTCACATTCAGGTGCGGGGCCCATCGCCTAAGGAAAGTGACATTGTGCACAGATTCTGGCTACGCGACACGCATTTTCAAGGCTGCCGCAAGCAGCCCACGATCGTGGTTTCCGCCAAACTCCCTCTTCAGGGCGGGGGCCTACTAGATTCTGTGACCAATGCCCACCCATAAAGTCGGAAGCATGTCGTGAGTCACTTTATGCCTCAATACAGCGGTCGAGATGCCCACCTGCACATGTGTGAATACCGGTCTCCGGCGCCAACGAGGTCATTCCTCAGAGCACCCTGACGATGTCATTATGCGGGAATCGACACGACACACGCTATGCGCACAACTGCCGGGACCAAAATAACGGCGATGCATGAGTGGCAGGGGAAACAATGGCGTGGTTTCTGCTCGTTATGTTTGCCAGAGGCAGTGGTTTGAGAAGCATTCACCACATCCTGAAAGTCCCAGGAGATGATGCAGGCTTATCTCCGAGCATGTCCCAGAAACAACTCAAATCGAACATCTTACTTGAGTACCATGTATGCGCAGCTCAAGAGAGCATCCTGCACACGCGGGCCGGGGAAGCCCATGACGCCGAGCCTCATCTCCAACGCCATGGAATCCAGCGACAGCCACCTACACCAAAGAGGTCGAGATCGCAGGGGCTTGGGGTCACCTCGGCTCAGTGCCAGCAATGCACATCGCGTCGCCGCCACAGGCCGCCGGCCGAGGCCCGCCGCGTCACGTGACCCGCGTGAAAAAGCAATGCCCCGCCAGCGCAGCCGCACCCGTAAGCGTGCTGCACATGCCGCGCCCGATCTGCGCGGGCCACGTGGCGCGGGGACGACCTTCCCCACCGTCAATGTTCTAAACGCCACATGCAGGGTTTATCTCTCACGCGCAGCATCAGCCGCGGCATGCAGGTCCCGGTGCGCATGCTTACTGAGGGCCTTCTATATCATGTCTCACCAGGCTTACTGGCAGTCAACAGGCCCCAGCCTTCTGAACCCTGCCACCCCGAATGAAGCGTGATCCTGACCCCCACGCGCTGCCGGCATATGCTGGCGCCTCGCTCACCCTGGCCTCCACGCTGTACGGGCCGTCGCCACCAGGCCATGTGCCGTGGCCACAGACTTTCCAGCCTCCGCCTCCCATAACCCATTCCCAGTCGCCCCCAGCTTCTCACATTCCGGGCCCGCCGCTGTTTTTTGCACGGCACCACTCGGCGTACGCGGTGCCGCCATACTACGACGCTCGGCACGTGCCGCCGGCCCTGTCTGCGCCGCACGGATACCATCGCATTTTGCAGAACCGCGACCCCGGCGACCCGTCGTCCCACGGCCCGCCCGAAACGGCCCCGCGGGTGCCGGAGTCCGCCCCGCTACCGCAAATCAGCTTTTTCTCGACGCCACGCGACCGCCCGCTGCCGCCAGCCCCACAGGCCGTTGGTGGCGCGCGACATAACCTGGACCTCGGGCCTGGCGACGACACGGAACCGCCCGGCATGCCCCAAAACGGGTTTGTCAACGCGGCGCCGGGCGCGGACCGCCTGCGCGTGCGCGTGAACAAGGCGTGTGAGCGGTGCCGGCTCCACAAAATCAAATGCTCCGGCCGGTACCCGTGCTTGAACTGCCAGAAACATGACCTGGCGTGCCGGTACCGGGCGCTGATTCCCGTGGAGTCGGCGCCGAGAGCCGAGGAGGAAGGGTCGTCTGTGGAAGCGCAGGCCTCGGACACGCAGGATGCCGCTGGCGCCTCCCACTCAGCGACACCGCCCGAGCTGAATGCCCTGGCGAAACGCGTGAAGACCGCGAGCGACGAGCATGCAGCCGCGGCTCCGCAGCCCGCTAAACGGGCCCACTGCAGCGAGCCCTCTGTGCATGCGTCGGACGCGGCATACGTGCGCTACTTGGAGCACAAGGTGCGGCACCTCGAGGCAGTGGTGTCAAAAGGCGCGTTCCACGGGCCCTGCGTCGACAACACGGGCCTGCCGTACAAGCTCGACGACATTGTCGTGATCCAGCGGCCCACCAGTAGCAAGTGGCGGCTCTGCCGCCGCTACCAGGCCGCGTTGGCCATCGAGCTCTGCTCGTCGCTATACAATGGCCTTTCGCCTGAGGCACAGGCACAGGTGCACATCCCACGCACCAACTACTTTGGCTTCAACATGTCCGGCTGTCACTACCTTCGGCCCGACGCGCTACCGCCGTTTCCCGACCCCGCGGAGCTCTCCTCCGAGCACCGCGAGGTGCTCATTGACTTCTTCTTCAAGGAAATCAACCCACTCTACGCGATAGTGCACGAGAGCGTGTTCCGCGAACAGTACAAAGCGTTCCGTGACGTGCTCCCCGAGGAACGGCCCACCAACAACGTGGCCTTGTTTGCGGCCATGCTCAGCCTCATCCTTGCCTTGGGCATCCGCTTCATGGAGTTCATGAAACCCGCGGGCCCCGCCAGGGCCCAGTTACTCGTTGAGGAAACACTCTACAAATACGCGCATCTGGTCCTCCTGATCTTCTCCGCCGAGTGGGAGTCGTTCGAGCTCATCCAGTGCTGGCTTCTCTCGACGCTCTACTTACGCATCTCGCACAGGCAAACGTCGTGCCACCTGAGCTTTGGGCATGCACTCAACATGTGCCGCTCTATGGGGCTTGGCAAGTACGACCAGATACCACATGATAGCTCGGCGTACGAGGTTGCCAAGGCGAAGCGCATATTCTACGCAGTCTACTCGTTCGACCGCATCATTGGATTACAGGGCGGCCGCATCAGCGGCATGTGTGAGGATGAGATCAAGCGCATGTTTCCGCTGCTCGACTTCGAGAAGGAAAGCGCAAATGACGACTGGATCACCGTGCCGGCGTTCGCCATGTTGCACATAGCACGTCTTGCCCACTACTTGAACTTGGCGTACTCGAACAACCACGACTTGATCACCGCCGAGAAAATGACACGCGAGTTTGACGAAGTGCGAGAGTGGCTCGATACTAACGGGTTCGACGACGAGGAAGACATCTACGGGCCAGACGCGCCAAATGCCGAGGCCTCGTCTTTGATCAAGGCGCAAGTGAAGCTACATTTCTACGAGTTGATCCAATGCATCCATGCCAAGATGCTCTTCGGCATCTTCGGGCACCGAGTCTCGATCGAAGGGATGAAAATCTCCACGATCTTGCAGTGCAACAAAGACATCATCTACCTCCTCAAAAAGGTGCTCGACTCGGGCGGCCTTTACGCGCCCTGGTATCTCACGCTCCAGCTCATCCTCACTGTGGGGGTCAACAGCCTTGTGTTTGTGAACGGGGGGATCCACGTCGCAGAATCGCGTCGGCTAATAAAAGACACAATGGCCGTTCTACAGGTAATACGGGATTCTCCCGTGTATGATGAAAACGGTGAATTGATTTTCAAACTGCGGTTCCGCATGGTTGAGGAATGCCGCTGGCTCTTCAAGATGATGAACCACATCATGTCTCTTCACTACCAAGAGTCACTCAAAGGCATCCGCGAGCTTGGCACAGATCATGGCTCGTCGGCGGTCAATCTGATTTCCATAAAATTCGACAACCTGCCAGGAGACGCCCCAGGCAATACCCAGCAATTGGAATCAGGAAATGCTAAAAAGACTACGGTGGAAGGAAATCGATGGGACTCAAAAGTGGTTCAGGAAGAGACGCCGCAACTGCACCCAGAGCAAACCACGCCTGGTGGGGATGTTGACTTCTCAATGGAAGAATATTTGGAAAACCTTGCGTGGTTCGACAAGTGGCTTGATTTTAGCTGTGGCCCATAGGCCGGCCACGTTTTATTCAATTGACCCAGCCGAACAATCAGGAAAGGACCGACCAACTCCAGGAATGATAAGCGGCATATGCACTTTGCCGGGACTTTCTGCACTACCAACAACGCTATGCGAAGCCTCGACATGCATATTCGCAATCGGTATGTCTAAGCGCATGTATTACGGGGCAACACAAATACAACTTCAGGATACGAGGTCAGCATAGTAGGACTAGGCCTTGGCAATGAAAAACGGCGGCAAAATATGGGGCTGGGCCGCCGAGTCACCTCGGCTGGACACTGCTCGATTCAGCGAGTACAAGATGGAAAGCGTGGCTAGAACCTCGGAGTTTGGAACGGCTTGGCAATCATGCCGATAGAGGCGCGAGTCGCAACGTCGGACTTAAGAGGGCACAAGGTTGTGCGAGGAAAGCGGCGCAAGGCTGCCTTGTGAAAAATACACGAAAGTCAAAAAGCTCGGGCAGACGCAGCCAGGCAAGAAAAGATGAAAGCAAGATTGGCGAGTGTCAGCGGCTGGACGGCGTGCTTGCTCGAATCACATGATGGACGAACGTCGTGTTGGGCTGAATGCCGGCGGATGTCGTCCTGCATGCCCATGCACAGCGGATGCCGGGCTATTCTGATGTGATGCGTTGGATGCACCACACGCCTTTTTTCTCTTGCGTACCACGGCCGCTTCGAGTCTGGTCAGAAGCAGCAGCACGAGGCATGCATTTTCAACAGCTGGGCTGGGCTACAGGTTTTGAGTAGTAACTTGTGCTGCACATTTCAGCGCGGGGCAACATTGGCCCATGCGCACAAGAATGTTACCGAACATCCAGGCGCGCATGGTGCGCCTGAGCCTGCGGAAAAATCTTTCATGCACCCGGTATATGACGGAGACATCGGGCGTGCTGCATGGCGCGTGCGCATGTGCTCGCAGCTGCTATGGACAGCGTGGTCAATCGAGCGATGCGTAGCGCATTCTCACCCTGCGCCCAGAGCGGACCTGGAGATCCAAGGCACTGGCCTGACGATTGGGCCCAATGCCTGGAGTGATTGAACCGTGGAGTTTTGCCCCGGGCGATTCGAGGTTATTTTGAGAGGCTTGTCTCATTTGCGTGATTTGGGCCATACAATCATTCGTATAACTTGAACCATTTGGGCCCGTCCCATTTGAATAGCTGGGGTCATTCGGTACATTCACTTTGCCGTACCAGGAACCATCGAACATGTACTATAGCATGAAATATTCACTATACCCATTGAACATTCACTGTAACTACTGAACGTTTCCAGTAATTTTGGAAGATTACCAGTATCCATCCTACATTACCAGTGATCATTCAACATTCACTTATATATCGAACATTACTAGTAAACATCCTACATCACCAGGAACCATCAAACAGTTCCTCGTATATCGAACATTACCAGTACCCATCGAACAGTAACTACAACCATCCAACACTTACTATGCCCATCAAGTATTCACTATATCCATCAAATATTCACTACACTTATCGAACACTACCAGTATCCATCCTACATCACCAGGAACCATCAAACAGTTCCTCGTATATCGAACATTAC